ATAAAAAAACAATGAGAGAAAAATAAGTAAATAAATAAATAAATACTTTCTTTGCTTTACTTGTCTGTTCATCCTATAAAAGCTCCCCCTTGCATCCCCTCAGTGGAGCTCCTGAACAGCTTCTGGTCTTGAGCTGCTCAATTCGTAAATCATTGTTTGCTCAAATAAACTGTTTGAAAATTTTATTGTGCCACAGTTTACCTTTCTAACAATCTCTTATGTTAAGTGCTTTAAGAAGGCTATTCACAGGGACCTACGGGGGCAGCACAGATTAGGGGCACCTAACCCAGTCTTGAGAGATGAAGGAAGGCTTGATTTCTAGCCCAATCCTAAAAAAGAAGTGAGAGTTAGCCAGGTGGAGAAGCCCTGGAAAAAAGGGTATTCAAGACTTGGGAAACAGCTTATGCAAAAAACAAGAAATCAGTAGGCATAAAGCATTGGTAGTTCACAATTGTCTCTGCNAGAGCTATGGAAGGGTTTCATGGTATCTGAGATAAGCCTGTATTTTACAAATGTCATTTTACCAGGAGTTCAGAGTTTAGTTAGTATTCAGAAGCCAGGAAGATACTTGCTAAGACATCATTCTACAGCATCTTGTGCATGATCAGGTCCTGCTCAGAAACACACACATGCACATGCATACACACACGCTCACACTCATTCACACGCTGACCCTGCATCATAATCCTTGCACAGGCAAACAGCCAGCAGGCAAAGGATACACAATCTTCTTCTGGAGATGATCATACTTGGAAAGCATCACTGTGCAAGCCCCACAGCCCCCTTCTCCGCAGCCAAGCTTGGTCCCGCTCAGCCCCACTGGACAGTCGAGAGTTAAGGAGCATGAACTCGGAGAGAGAAGTCTGCTGGGTTGGAAGATGCTTTGGCAGAGCTGCGTGTATAGAGCCACCCATTCCCACACACAGGCTCAGGCCCACAAGCCTCCTCACCCAGAGAGGCTGCCCCGTGCCCCAGGGGGTGGGAGCAGGGCCATCTGCACTACACAGAAGAGCAAAGGCATCAGGGTCTCCTGGACAGTGCCTATGTCACATCCCCTGGGACGGAAGTCCTAGGGCTCACC